CTTGGGTAATCTCTTCTAACAATGGGAGCTGCTCAGGCTCGGTTGTGAACACTCCATGGAATTTTGCATTCAGTACCTCGCAGATTTCCTTGTCGCTTTCTGTATATGCCCCTTCTGTTTTCCTCAGTCTTGTCACTTGGTCATTTACCGACATCTTCCTTCTTATATGGCTATGTAGTAATTTTGGTTGCTTTTTCGCTTTGACTGCAATATCGTTCTCATAATTTCTTTCCGACACTCGTCTTATGTTAATGTAATCATTCCTAGCTCTGTTACATCTAATCCTGTTGTCCTCTGTCCTTTGTCTTCTGTACTTCCTCCACTCCCTCCTGCTTCTCACCTTTGCTTCCTGACACTGTCTATTAAACCATGGGTTATTATATTCCCTCCTGCTTTTTTCCTTTATTGTTGGAATAAATCTATCTTCAGCCTCCTTGCATTTCAATATGACTTGGTTCATCATACCTTGCACTGTTTTTCCTCTAAGTTCTTCCTCCCACTGCACTTCTCCCAGGTAGTCCCTTATCCTTCTGTAGTCCCCTTTTCTGTAATCAAGTCTCCTTTCCCGGACCTCTTGTCCTTTGGTCACAATTTTAAGCTCCATCATGTAGTCAAAGACTAGGACACAATGGTCACTAGCTCCTAGTGGTATTTCATGTTCCAACTGCTCGATGTCTTCTACATTCTGAGTGATAATGAGATCTAATAGGCTGGGCGTATCCCCTCCTCTTTCCCTAGTATCTTCTTTCACATGCTGTGTTAGGAAATTCCTGTCAATAACGTCTACCAGCTTCACTCCCCAGGTCTCCTCCCCGCCATGGGGATTCCTCGTTTCCCAATTTATCTCTCCGTGATTTAGGTCCCTCATGACCAGCAGCTTCGCTCTCATTCTATGCGCTAAAGTTGATGCCCTCTGCAGTTCATCCATACATGTCTTGTTGCTGTCCTCGTACTCCTGCCTGGGCCTTCTACTGTTTGGTGGGGGATTGTAGAGTATCAAGATTACAATCTTCTTCCCATCCACTGTCAGAGTTCCATGTATGAAGCTTGTGCTTTCATTGGTACCCGGATTTTCCAGCTCATCAAACTTCCATTTCCGCTTTATTAGTAGTGCCACTCCTCCTCCCTGTCTCTGTGTCCTTTCTTTTTTTATCACCTGGTACCCCTCTGGAAAGATTGCATCCGAGATCATGCCATTTATTTTAGTTTCCACTATTGCCACTATGTCTGGGTCTGCCTCACTAACTCTTTCTTTTATGTGTGTGTGTGTGTGTGTGTGTGTGTGTGTGTGTGTGTGTGTGTGTGTGTGTGTGTGTGTGTCCCCCTCCCCCACACACACACCCTCTCCATATGCGTGCATGTGTGTGTGTGTGTGCGTGTCCCCTCCCCCCCTCCCTGTCCCAGTCACTGGCGGAGACTGTTGAGGAAACAAGAGGAACTTGAAGCATCAAGTATGAGAGAGAGCGAGCGCTGGGGGGTGCCCGCACGCGCGTGGCCAAACAAAAGCGCAACACGAAGCACCCTTGACCGGCCCTTGAGTGCCGTCAAGTGCCAGGAGGCGAGAGAGACAGTGAGGGAAGGTGCCAGAGTAGGTAATGACTGACCAAGCAACAGGGAACCAACCCAGCCAGCCAGCCAAGATGGCGCTCCACCTTACATATATATTTTTGCGTTATAATTAATTATTAGTGTTATTAGTGGGAAAATCAGTAGGAGCCACGGGGTGGATTCGAACCCGAGTTGGTGGTGCTCCCAGTAACTCAGACTAGACCACTACACCACGACAACTAACAGATGGGCGTGAGTGAACTAACAGGTGGCCGTGGGTGAACTAGCAGGTGGGCGTGGGTGAACTAGCAGGTGCCGTAGGTGAACTAGCAGGTGGGCGTGGGTGAACTAGCAGGTGGGCCTAGGTGAACTAACAGGTGGGCCTGGGTGAACTAACAGGTGGGCGTGAGTGAACTAACAGGTGGGCGTGAGTGAACTAACAGGAGGGCGTGGGTGGAGTAGCAGGTGGGCGTGGGTAAACTAACAGGTGGGCGTGAGTGAACTAACAGGTGGGCGTGGGTAAACTAACAGGTGGGCGTGGGTGAACTAGCAGGTGGGCGTGGGTAATCTAACAGGTGGGCGTGGGTGAACTAACAGGTGGGCGTGGGTAAACTAACAGGTGGGCGTGGGTGAACTAACAGGTGGGCGTGGGTAAACTAACAGGTGGGCGTGGGTGAACTAGCAGGTGGGCGTGGGTGAGCTACCAGGTGGGCGTGAGTGAACTAGCAGGTGGGCGTGGGTAAACTAACAGGTGGGCGTGGGTGAACTAGCAGGTGGGGCGTGGGTAAACTAACAGGTGGGCGTGGGTGAACTAGCAGGTGAGCGTGGGTAAACTAACAGGTGGGCGTGGGTGAACTAACAGGTGGGCGTGGGTAAACTAACAGGTGGGCGTGGGTGAACTAACAGGTGGGCGTGAGTGAACTAACAGGTGGGCGTGGGTAAACTAACAGGTGGGCGTGGGTGAACTAGCAGGTGGGGCGTGGGTAAACTAACAGGTGGGCGTGGGTGAACTAGCAGGTGGGCGTGGGTAATCTAACAGGTGGGCGTGGGTGAACTAACAGGTGGGCGTGGGTAAACTAACAGGTGGGCGTGGGTGAACTAACAGGTGGGCGTGGGTAAACTAACAGGTGGGTGTGGGTGAACTAGCAGGTGGGCGTGGGTGAGCTACCAGGTGGGCGTGAGTGAACTAGCAGGTGGGCGTGGGTGAACTAACAGGTGGGCGTGGGTGAACTAACAGGTGGGCGTGGGTAAACTAACAGGTGGGCGTGGGTGAACTAGCAGGTGGGCGTGGGTGAGCTACCAGGTGGGCGTGAGTGAACTAGCAGGTGGGCGTGGGTAAACTAACAGGTGGGCGTGGGTGAACTAGCAGGTGGGCGTGGGTGGACTAACAGGTGGGCGTGGGTGGACTAACAGATGGGCGTGGGTGGACTAACAGGTGGGCGTGGGTGGACTAACAGATGGGCGTGGGTGGAGTAGCAGGTGGGCGTGGGTGAACTAACAGGTGGGCGTGGGTAAACTAACAGGTGGGCGTGAGTGAACTAACAGGTGGGCGTGGGTGGAGTAGCAGGTGGGCGTGGGTAAACTAACAGGTGGGCGTGGGTGAACTAACAGGTGGGCGTGGGTGAACTAACAGGTGGGCGTGAGTGAACTAATAGGTGGGCGTGGGTGAACTAACAGGTGGGCGTGAGTGAACTAACAGGTGGGCGTGAGTGAACTAACAGGTGGGCGTGAGTGAACTAGCAGGTGGGCGTGAGTGAACTAGCAGGTGGGCGTGAGTGAACTAACAGGTGGGCGTGAGTGAACTAGTAGGTGGGGCGTGGGTAAACTAACAGGTGGGCGTGAGTGAACTAACAGGTGGGCGTGAGTGAACTAACAGGTGGGCGTGGGTGAACTAACAGGTGGGCGTGTGTGAACTAACAGGTGGGCGTGAGTGAACTAACAGGTGGGCGTGAGTGAACTAGCAGGTGGGCGTGGGTGAACTAACAGGTGGGCGTGAGTGAACTAACAGGTGGGCGTGGGTGAACTAACAGGTGGGCGTGAGTGAACTAACAGGTGGGCGTGAGTGAACTAACAGGTGGGCGTGAGTGAACTAGCAGGTGGGCGTGGGTGAACTAACAGGTGGGCGTGAGTGAACTAACAGGTGGGCGTGGGTAAACTAACAGGTGGGCGTGGGTGAACTAACAGGTGGGCGTGGGTGAACTAACAGGTGGGGCGAGGGTAAACTAACAGGTGGGCGTGGGTGAACTAACAGGTGGGCGTGGGTGGACTAACAGGTGGGCGTGGGTGAACTAACAGGTGGGCGCGGGTGAACTAACAGGTGGGCGTGGGTGAACTAACAGGTGGGCGTGGGTGAACTAACAGGTGGGCGTGGGTGGACTAACAGGTGGGCGTGGGTGAACTAACAGGTGGGCGTGGGTGAACTAACAGGTGGGCGTGGGTGAACTAGCAGGTGGGCGTGGGTGAACTAGCAGGTGGGCGTGGGTGAACTAACAGGTGGGCGTGGGTGAACTAGCAGGTGGGCGTGGGTGAACTAACAGGTGGGCGTGGGTGAACTAACAGGTGGGCGTGGGTGAACTAGCAGGTGGGCGTGGGTGAACTAACAGGTGGGCGTGGGTGAACTAACAGGTGGGCGTGGGTGAACTAGCAGGTGGGCGTGGGTGAACTAGGAGGTGGGCGTGGGTGAACTAACAGGTGGGCGTGGGTGAACTAGCAGGTGGGCGTGGGTGAACTAGCAGGTGGGCGTGGGTGGAGTAGCCTGTGTAAGGGCTGCTCGCGCCTCGGGGTGTAGGGACTCTCCAAGCTCCCATTACTCTCATAATAATATAACAACTACTTAATCAATTGACTGGAGGCATTTTGCATGTTCCAAGGTCATCCGGCTGAGACGGGCCGGCTGGGACGAGCCGGCCCGTCCCAGCCGGCTGGACGGTTATAAATGGAACAATTCCATTGTGTGTGTGTGTGTGTGTTTTTTTTTCGTTCCTGCCCGCCACTTGTATATCCAAGTTTTCAATGAAGTTTGTATCTTTTTTGTATTATAAGAGCTACAGTCTAGAGTTACGTTCCGTGGGTTTTATCTACACGATCGGGGCGTTCTTTGTGGTGAGCGTTCCGTAACGCGGCGGGTTAATGTTCCGACTAGACGAACGCAAAAAAAAAATAGAGAAAAAAATGGAAAAAAAACACTATGATCATCCCAACCTTGGACCGCGGCGCCAGACGTACGAGTCACCAACGATTGCACTCCTGTTTCATGGAAATCGATATTTTGATTCGTTTGCTGCTCTACGGTTAGTTTTCTGAGTTATATGATGAATTAATGGAGTTAATGTTGCGGGTATATGCGTATATTATGCGTTATGGCGGAAAAGGGAATCTTATGTGCGTACGACAAGTGCTCTATACGACTTTGACATCAGGAAAGATAACCTTGCCTCCTCAGTTTGTTTACAGTCGTCGGGAGGACAGGAGGTACTGCGTTGTTCTCAGTCCTTCTTCTATGAAAACTCTTGCGTTGATGTATTCTGGCATTCTTATCCCCCAAATTACCGGGAAAGTGAAGCGTTACCGTGCTTAAGCTAGTGAATGTACACATTATACCCGACGTCGTCGTGTGTGTTACGCTGGCAAAGTGTTGTGGGAGCCGGAATTAAGAGTGCTTGTGTGAAGTGTTGCTGACTGCTTGTTCGCGCGGGAGGAAGATCCTTCTTGCTCCTGGGATTAATTAGTTCACAGTCTTCGCAGGTAAGTCTGGAAGATCTGTTTAGTGCGGTGTAAACACGGATGGTTATAGGCTGTGCTATAGATTATTGGTGCGATGTAAACAGCTGGTTATAGGCTGTGTTATAGATTATTGGTGCGATGTAAACAACTGGTTATAGGCTGTGCTATAGATAATTAGTGCGATGTAAACAGCTGGTTATAGGCTGTGCTATAGATAATTAGTGCGATGTAAACAACTGGTTATAGGCTGTGCTATAGATAATTAGTGCGGTGTAAACAGCTGGTTATAGGCTGTGCTATAGATAATTAGTGCGATGTAAACAGCTGGTTATAGGCTGTGCTATAGATAATTAGTGCGATGTAAACAGCTGGTTATAGGCTGTGCTATAGATAATTAGTGCGATGTAAACAGCTGGTTATAGGCTGTGCTATAGATAATTAGTGCGATGTAAACAGCTGGTTATAGGCTGTGCTATAGATAATTAGTGCGATGTAAACAGCTGGTTATAGGCTGTGCTATAGATTATTAGTGCGATGTAAACAGCTGGTTATAGGCTGTGCTATAGATTATTAGTGCGATGTAAACAGCTGGTTATAGGCTGTGCTATAGATAATTAGTGCGATGTAAACAGCTGGTTATAGGCTGGGTCAGTGACGGGTGGGTCAGTGCCAGGTGTAGTGACGGGGTCAGTGCCAGGTGTAGTGATGGGGGGTCAGGGCCAGGTGTAGTGATGGGGGGTCAGGGCCAGGTGTAGTGACGGGGGGGGGGTCAGTGCCAGGTGTAGTGCGGGGGGGGTCAGTCAGTGCCAGGTGTAGGGAGGGGGGGGCCTGCTTTATACCTGATTGATGGGGTTCTGGGAGTTCTTCTACTCCCCAAGACAGGCCCGAGGCCAGACTTGACTTGTGAGAGTTTGGTCCACCAGGCTGTTGCTTGGAGCGGCCCGCAGGCCCACATACCCATCACAGCCTGGTTGGTCTGGAACTTCTTTTATAAAACTATCTAGTTTCCTCTTGAAGATGTCCACGGTTGTTCCGGCAATATTTCTTATAGTCGCTAGGAGGACGTTGAACAACCGCGGACCTCTGATGTTCATAGAGTGTTCTCTGATTGTGCCTATGGCACCTCTGCTCTTCACTGGTTCTATTCTGCATTTTCTTCCATATCGTTCACTCCAGTACGTTGTTATTTTACTGTGTAGATTTGGGACCTGGCCCTCCAGTATCTTCCACGTGCATATTATTTGGTATCTCTCGTCTCCTTTCTAGTGAGTACATTTGGAGAGCTTTGAGACGATCCCAATAATTTAGGTGCTTTATCTCGTCTATGCGTGCCGTATATGTTCTCTGTATTCCCTCTATTTCAGCAATCTCTCTTACCCTGAAGGGGGAAGTGAGTACTGAGGAGTACTCAAGACGGGACAACACAAGTGACTTGAAGAGTACAACCATTGTGATGGGATCCCTGGATTTGAAAGTTCTCGTAATCCATCCGATCATTTTTCTGGCTGACGCGATATTTGCTTGGTTATGCTCCCTAAACGTTACGTCGTCGGCATCATTTTTCCCAAATCCTTAACATGCTGTTTTCCTACTATGGGAAGATTCGATTGTGTTTTGTACTCTGTATTATGTTTCAGATCCTCATTTTTGCCGTACCTGAGTACCTGGAATTTATCACTGTTAAACATCATGTTATTTTCTGCTGCCCAATAGAAAACTTTGTTGATATCTGCTTGTAATTTTTCAATGTCTTCAGCAGAGGTAATTTTCATACTGATTTTTGTATCATCTGCAAAGGCCGGCACTAAGCTGTGACTTGTATTTTTGTCTATATCTGATATGAGAATAAGGAAAAGTAGTGGTACAAGGACTGTACCCTGAGGTACAGAGCTTTTAACTGCGCTTGGACTCGATTTTACTTGATTGACTGTTACTCTTGGTGTTGCAAGACAGAAAATTGAGTATCCAGCGTCCCACTTTACCAGTTATATCCACTGACCTCATTTTGTGTGCAATCACTCCATGGTCACATTTGTGACCATATTACCCCGAGTGCTCGCGCTACTGGTACTTTACATATCTTTATGAATTCCACGAGACAGGCCCAGGAGCCGAGTGCATGGCCATATTGTCAATTTCTCTTTCAAAGTCTTCCGAGTTTGTGGTAATATCCGTTATATTATCTGCAGCTTGAATGTCATTCATTAAGAAGCTGTCTGGGTCATCAACTTTCATGTTGTTTATTGGTGTGCTAAACATGGCCTCATACTGGCTTCTTAGAATTTCACTAATTTCTTTGTTGTCCTCTGTGTACGTACCTTCAGTTGTAATTAAAGGTCCAATACTGGTCAAGGTTTTTGATTTTGCGTATGTGAAAAAATATTTTGGATTTTACTTTATCTCTTGTATAGCTTTGTGTTCCAATTCCATTTCCTCAGACTCATATGATCGCTTCAACGTTTGTTCTATTTCCTCAATCTCCCTGCTTAGGCTTGTTTTCCTTGCTTGTGATAGTTGTGTCTGCCGAAGCATTTCCGTTATTTTTTTCCTTCTCCTGTACAGTCGTCTCCGTTCTCTTTCTAGAGTGGTCCTCTTTCTGCCCCTCCTCACAGGTACGTGCTTCAAGCAGACCTTGTAAGCTTCAGCTGTCAGTTGAGCTATTCCCTGTGTGGGAGTTTTGTCGCTTAAGACCGTCTCCCATTGAATGGTTGCAAGGTCTACATTTTAATTTTTCCCAGTCGATCCTCTTATTGTTGAAATTGAATTGATTGAATACTTATCGCTTGTTGGGTCTCTTAGACCTACTACCGTTATTTATGCTAGTTCGCACTTCAATGAGCTTATGGTCTAAGCATGTAGTATCTGAGATTGTAATGTCTCTAATTAGTTTAGCATTGTGAATAACAAGTCTAGTGTGTGTTCGTTCCTAGTTGGTTCTGTAATCTGTTGACTGAGCGAGAATTTGTCACAGAATCTCAAAAGTTCTCTGACCTGTGGTTGGGTATTTCCCGGGTCATTCCCTGCTATGATTTGTGTTTACCATTCTCCATCTTAGACTCGGTAAATTGAAATCTCCAAGGAAGATAATATCTGGAGCTGGGTTTGCTAGGTTATCAAGTATGTTCTCTATTTTGTGCATCTGCTCTGTGAATTCCTCAACCCTTGTATCTCGCGGTTTAAGAATTATAATTATTAGAATAACTAATAATTATACTTAAACAGCATAATTATTAGGTTTATTTTTTCTACCTTAATTTTAAGTACCTCTACCACCTCATTAGTTTAGTAGTTCTGTGCATACCAGGTCCTCTTTAATATACAGACCTACTCCTCCATTTGACCTATTTTCTCTCTATCACATCTATATAAATTATAATTTCGAATCCAGATTTCACCATCCATGTATTCTTTTGTATGAGTTTCCGTGAATGCCCCAAATATTGAGTTTGACTCTAATAGGAGGCCATTTATGAACTTAACTTTATTTCTTGACTTTGGCTTTAAACCTTGAATGTTTGCAAATATGAATGATTGTCCATATTGTGTGTCACTTCTGGAAGGTTTTGGTGGTTCTCCCTCCTCTCTACCCTGACCCAGGGTGTGTTCTCTCTACCCTGACCCAGGGTGTGTCCTCTCTACCCTGACCCAGGGTGTGTCCTCTCTACCCTGACCCAGGGTGTGTCCTCTCTACCCTGACCCAGGGTGTGTCCTCTCTACCCTGACCCAGGGTGTGTCCTCTCTACCCTGACCCAGGGTGTGTCCTCTCTACCCTGACCCAGGGTGTGTCCTCTCTACCCTGACCCAGGGTGTGTTCTCTCTACCCTGACCCAGGGTGTGTCCTCTCTACCCTGACCCAGGGTGTGTTCTCTCTACCCTGACCCAGGGTGTGTCCTCTCTACCCTGACCCAGGGTGTGTCCTCTCTACCCTGACCCAGGGTGTGTCCTCTCTACCCTGACCCAGGGTGTGTCCTCTCTACCCTGACCCAGGGTGTGTCCTCTCTACCCTGACCCAGGGTGTGTCCTCTCTACCCTGACCCAGGGTGTGTCCTCTCTACCCTGACCCAGGGTGTGTCCTCTCTACCCTGACCCAGGGTGTGTCCTCTCTACCCTGACCCAGGGTGTGTCCTCTCTACCCTGACCCAGGGTGTGTCCTCTCTACCCTGACCCAGGGTGTGTTCTCTCTACCCTGACCCAGGGTGTGTCCTCTCTACCCTGACCCAGGGTGTGTCCTCTCTACCCTGACCCAGGGTGTGTCCTCTCTACCCTGACCCAGGGTGTGTTGTTGTGGCAATGGTTTGTCCAGTTTTGGAAGTGATACTGGGGAGTGTGGTAGTCTCTGTGTAGTTGGGGGGTGTAGTATGTGTGGGCTTGATGAATGACGGTCAGTGCCAGGTGTAGTGAAGGGGGGGGGTCAGTGCCAGGTGTAGAGGGGGGGGGTCAGTGCCAGGTGTAGAGAGGGGTCAGTGCCAGGTGTAGTGAAGGGTCAGTGCAAGGTGTAGAGAGGGGGGTCAGTGCCAGGTGTAGAGAGGGGGGTCAGTGCCAGGTGTAGTGAGGGGGGGGTCAGTGCCAGGTGTAGTGAAGGGTCAGTGCAAGGTGTAGAGAGGGGGGTCAGTGCCAGGTGTAGAGAGGGGGGTCAGTGCCAGGTGTAGTGAGGGGGGGGTCAGTGCCAGGTGTAGTGAGGGGGGGTCAGTGCCAGGTGTAGTGAGGGGGGGGTCAGTGCCAGGTGTAGAGAGGGGTCAGTGCCAGGTGTAGTGAAGGGGGGGGGTCAGTGCCAGGTGTAGAGAGGGGTCAGTGCCAGGTGTAGTGAGGGGTGGGGGTCAGTGCCAGGTGTAGTGAGGGGTGGGGGGTCAGTGCCAGGTGTAGAGAGAGGGGGTCAGTGCCAGGTGTAGTGAAGGGTCAGTGCCAGGTGTAGAGAGGGGGGGTCAGTGCCAGGTGTAGAGGGGGGGGGTCAGTGCCAGGTGTAGAGAGGGGTCAGTGCCAGGTGTAGTGAAGGGTCAGTGCAAGGTGTAGAGAGGGGGGTC